TAAGGAACATCTAATGGCTTCTGCCCCTCTCCAGGGCTTTGCTCTTTACATAATCTCTTTCCCATAACCAACGGAGTTGGTGCCGGATTGGAATTCTCCATTCCAAACCTTTTAAGAACTGATCTTAAATATTTTTCTTGGTTTAAACTTAGCATTCTAGACTTTCTATCTCGAATTATTTGAATTCCAAGAATATATGATGCATCTCCCATGTCTTTCATCTCAAACTTTTCGCTGAGATCTGCCTTGGTTTTATTCAACATTTCTATGTCATTTCCAGCGAGCAATATATCATCCACATATAAGGATAATATAGTAAACTTGCTCCCACTTTTCAAGACATATACACAATTATCTAATTTATTTTGAATAAAACCAAGTTTAGTAACTGCATCATGAAATTTGAGATACCATTGTCTAGAATATATATCGCTTCCTTCAACTCTCCGTTAAGGAATGCTGTTTTAACATCCATTTGGAATAACTCCAAATCAAGATATGCAACAATAGCCAAAATAATTCTAATGGATGCAAATTTAGCTACAGGAGAATACGTCTCCTAAAAATCTATTCCTGCCTTCTGGTTATAACCTTTGGCAACTAACCGTGCTTTGAATTTATCAATAGATCCATCAACACGATATTTCTTTTTGAGCACCCATTTGCATCCTATATTTTTCCTATTTTCTGGTAGATCACATAACTCCCATACCTTATTCTTTTCTATGGAATCAAGTTCTTCTCTCATAGATTCTAGCCATGAAGCTGATTCATGTGATTTCATCGCATCAGAAAAAGTTAAGGGATCTTGTTCTTCTATATTTGTATCTACCGAAAAACAGGATGACTCACATGAATACAAATAGTAATCATCCATCCATGAAGGTTGTGTTCTTGGTCTTTTGTTGCCTACAACCGGTTGATTAGGTACATTATTTTCCATAGGTATTTCATCATTTTCAAGGTTAGGTTCATTCACAATATCAGGGTCATTAGTGGGAACAACACTGTAATAATCATCATCTATTACAGTTAGACGTTCTGTTTCCTCTTGAACTTGTTCCTCTTCCTCTAGATTCTCTAGAAATGTAGCATCTCTGCTTTCAATGACACCTTTTTCTTTATTGTAGAACTTATAACCTTTTGACTTTTCTGAATACCCTATGAATCTACACTTTATTGTTTTAAAATCCAACTTATCTCTAAGTTGACATGGAATGAGAACATGACTATAGATCCCCACTTCCTGAGATGATTCAAATTAGGTTTCCTCCCATTCCATAATTCATAAGGTGTAGATATAACTGATTTGGTGGGAATTCTATTTAAAATGTAGTTTGCAGTTAACAATGCTTCTCCCCAAAAGTTTTTAGAGAGACCAGAATGAGACAACATGCACCTAACTACATTTAATAATGTTCTGTTTTTTCTTTCAGCAACACCATTCTGTTGTGGCGTATACGGCATTGTTGTATGCCTTTTAATTCCATGCTGAATACAATAACTTTCAAATTCTTTAGAATTATATTCTCCACCTCTATCAGTTCTCAAAATTTTGATTTTCAATCCAAGTTGGTTTTCAACTTCTGTCTTATATCTCTTAAAGCAGTCAAAAGCTTCTAATTTTCTGGATATAAGATAGACGTGTGCAAACTTGGAATAATCATCTATAAAAGTAATAAAATATTCTTTATTACTATGAGTTTTGACACTTAGGGGACCACAAATATCCGAGTGTATCAACCCTAAAAGTTCATTGGCTCTGTGTCCGCCAATAAAAGGTTTTCTAGTCATTTTACCAGTTAAACAATGTTCACATGGTGGTAATTGAACATTAGATAGTGCAGGAAGCAAGTTCATTCTGATAATTTCTTTCATTTTTGAAATACTAGCATGTCCTAGTCTAGAATGCCACAATTCAGATTCGGAAATATAACAAGACAAGTAGTTCAAATTCGAAATTTTATTATCAGAATTATTACAAACTACTGGAAGAATGCATAATTCATGCTCGGGCACATATTTACCCATAGCATACACTTTATTATTCTTGCCTATAGAAACCCTGTTATTATAGAACCTCACTTCCAGTCCTTTCTTCATCAAGCTGGGAACAGAGATCAGATTGCGTCGAATTCCTGGCGCATAGAACACATCTTTGAGGACAAGAATGCTGTCCCCAAGATCCAATCTATATAAACCGACACCTTCTACATAGAGATATGTATTATTTTTCATATAGATTCTCTGTTCTCCTTTCTTCAGCTCGGTGAATTCTACGACTCCATTCTTGTCCTTTGCAATATGCCTAGTCGCACCGGAGTCGATCCACCAACCACTGATATCCGTCATCACAGCATTACATTCCGTCACACCGACGAATTCTCTTTTGCTAGTACCCCCTTGTTCTGGATGCTTATAGCCTCCTTTATTCTCCTGCTTTTCACCTTGTGGGCAATTGGGTTTGAAATGCCCGAACTTTCCACAATTGTAGCAGGCTCCACGGGGTACTTTCTTTCTCTTGAACTGCTGCGATTTCGGTCCTCGTGGTTGTGAGCAGGCTCCACGGGGTACTTTCTTTCTCTTGAACTGCTGCGATTTCGGTCCTCGTGGTTGTGGTTTATTAGAACCAGGGTTTTTATAGCTTCCAGCATTATGCCTCTGGCGGACATAATTCAGCTCTTGCTGCACCATATTCAGTTCTGGTTCCTTCCTACTGGCTATTAAGTCTTGTTCTATCGCTAGGTGCATAGAAAGATCAGTGACAGACTTAATGGCAGGGGTTATTTTTTATTTGGTGGCAGCCACAGCAAGTGAAGGGGGAAGACTATTCAAATTGGTTGCCACTTGCATTCTTTCCGGGATTTCGGTCCCAGCAGTGGATAAGTCCTTAGCCATGACAATCATTTTATTTATATGCTCTACGACATTGTCTCCCTCTTGCATACGACAAGAATTATACTTATGCAAGAGTAGTTGGATGTTAACTTCAGAAGCAGTGTCGTATTTTTCTTTTATTGCATTCCACATGTCCATGGAAGTCTTATAAGTTTCAAAAACTTTGATTAAGTTATCTTCCATGAACATGAGCATAAGACTTTTCGCCTTTTTATCTTTCGACTTCCACTGTTCAAACCCTTTCTTTTCTTCAGGTGTAGATTTATCAGTAAGGGTTGGAGCAGTGGTTTCGATTATATCATCAATATTGTCATGAATAAGAGCATACCTTATTTTTCTATGCCACATATCATAATTACTGTCATTAAATTTATCAATTTTTCCTAGTTCTGATAGAACGAGTTTACTAGCCATTCGGTAAAGAACTAAAACTAAATTAATTTAAAATTTGTATGAGGTTGATATTTTGACAAATATAATAAAGTTAAATAATAAATAAATAAATAAATAAAAAGAACCTGATTGTTCCGAGTTGATGAAAGAGGCTCCAATTTTAACAAGATTGTCACTTAGTGGTGTTGATTGTATAAGCACTTGTCTGACTGAATTTTGGAGAAGATCCACCGTGTGAAGAATCTGATACTTCTACTTATATAATACTCCTCACACCCGATCTTAAGAGTTCAAACCCAACTGCAGCAGGCCCAACAGGCCCAAGTTTTTTTTCTTTTTTTAATTAAAACAAAGAAGAGGTTAGCAGGGAGTATATGACTTAGCTTGTTGTGGATATTTGATCACCAGGCCCAAACACAAAAAGGCTCAACAACTTCTCTCTTTGATTGTTCTGTTAAAAAGAATCCCGATCTCAAGCTAGGGCTGGGACCGAAAAAAAATCAAGGGGCAGCAGAACTTTCTTTCTTCCGTGATCTAAATCAAAGAGCTCGTCGACGATGGAGACTCCGGCGTTGTGATCAATCGTCGTCGCGGCTCAGATGCGAATTGGCGGACAAGCTCGCCGTCGCCGTCGTCGATCGCAACAGAAGAATCGTCGTCGTCGTCGAACGTCGCAGCAGAGTCGTCGAGGTGGCCGATTGACGCAGAGCTCGAGAGGGTGGCCTTGAGATCGACGCTGCTCTGATACCAGTGATCGAAATCGAAGAAGAAGAACAGATTTTGAGGGGCTCCGGTAATGGGTAAGGGTTTGATTTTGTTTCTGTGTTGCTGTATATTTCTCAAGGAGAATGATCCTCCTTATATAGGGGCTAAACCCATCATCTCTACCCCTCAGATCCGCCCCCATGAGAGATTTTCTCTCAACCACCCATGATTCACGTTCTCCACCATTCTCTCAACAGAGAAACAATGGTTGATTTGGTCATCAATGACCAAGTCAACTCCACCATTCTCTCAACAGAGAAACAATGGTTGATTTGGTCATCAATGACCAAGTCAAGCTAACATTATTCACATTATATCTTGGAGATATCAACTTGTTTCTACCCACATGGAGGTATCAACTTGTTTACAACCAAAACTTGAGGGTACTGCTATTTAAGATTGTTGTATATTTAATTATATATCAGAAATATGTCAAAGGTTATTCAAATGTCCACCCCAAACCTGCAACCTGCTTTTCAAAAATTTCCAAGGTTTTCACTAGATGATGTTGACTTTTTCCCCCTCCCCTCTAACATTAGTATTGACTGCTGAACTGCTTTTTAGAATCATGTGTTGTTCATTTGCCATTCCTCCTCAAAAGATTTGGG